AAAGAGGAAAATTGTGGTCTCCGAGTCTCGTGGGGTTTTCTCGTAGACATTTCATGACCCAACTAGATAACGTCATCAGTGCTAGAAGGGAGTGAGGTTTGTAGAGCGAAGGAGGAGGAGGAGAAAGGGAGGAGGAGGAGGAAGAGGAAAAAAAGAGCAGCAGGAAGACTGTGATTGCGAGTCCTTGGTGCTCTCTGAGCTTGTAGACATTTCATGACCCAACTAGGCAATATCATCAGTGCTAGAAGGGAGTGAGGTGTGTGGAGTGAAGAAGAAGGGGAGGAGGGCCCGCTAACTGGGGTGAACTCTGTGGTCCTCTTTCAAGCTAACCCAACCCACACAATGAGAGAGGGGGGGATGGGGGAGGGAGGGAGGACGGGGAGGAGGAGAAAGGAAGGGAGAGAAAGCAAGAGAAGGAAGGAAGGAAGAGAGAGGGAGGAAATGAAGGAAGGAAGGGAGAAAAAAGAAAGGAAGGAAGGCAAGGGAGGGAGGGAGGGGGGGAGAGAGAGAAAGAAAGAGAAGAAAGAAAGTAAGAGAGGGAGGGAGGAAGGGAAGGAAGGAAGGGAGGGGGAGGGAGGGAAGGAAGGAAGGGAGAGAAAGAGAGAAGAAAGAAAGAGGGAGGGAGGGAAGGAAGGGAGAGAAAGCAAGAGAAGGAAGGAAGGAAGAGGGAGGGAGGGAGGGAAGGAAGGAAGGGAGAAAAAGGAAGAAAGGAAGGAAGAGTGAGGGAGGGAGGGAAGGAAGGGAGAGAAAGAAAGAGAAGAAAGAAGGGAGGGAGGGAGGGAAGGAAGGGAGAGAAAGAAAGAAAGAAGAAAGGAAGAAAAGAGGAAAAGGAGGAGGAGGACGACTGTGGGGTCCTTGATGCTCTCTGAGCTTGGCTGTTTTCTCGTAGACATTTCGCGACCCAACTAGGTAACATCATCCATGCTAGAAGGGAGTGGGGTTTGTGGAGAGGAGGAGGAGGAGGAGGCGACAGCGGCAAGATCAAACTATTTCTGAAATCTCGCCAGAAAAACAGCAGGGACTGAAGACTTATCCAGGCAGTTGCCAGGATTCGCAACAGACTCAAAAACGGAGAAATAAAAAGCATACAGCATCAATTTCAAAGTCTTCGGTCGCCTCTGATACGTCTCCTTTTTCTCTCCCTTAAAGGGACAGCACTTATAAATCGGACACTCGCTTGATCAGCCGCCGGTCGCTCTGCACCGGCCAGAAGGAAGGGGCGCTCATGACCGCCTGCCATCGTTTGAATTTGAAGAAACCTCTGCAGTGGTCCAACAAGTAAGGGCAGCCTCCTCTGGCTGGGGGGGAGGAAAAAAAAATCTGTTTTTTTGCCTTTAAAATCGGTGACCGCTGGCGGCTGGGGATTAGCCGTTTCTGGGGAGAATGGCCTGGCCGGAGGAATGGAAACCTGGAGGATGTCTAAGCAAGGAACCTTGGAGAACCATCTTGGCAGGAAAGGAGAAGCAGGAATGATGGAGAAAAAGCCCCAAACTCTGGCAGGAGGCATCTAAACGCTTAACCCCGGTGCAAGTCGCTTCCCTTCCTTGTATCTTGTCTTCCCTTCCCTGCCGTGGGAACGTTAATAAAACGGTAGATTAAGTTAGCTAAGCAGCCTCTTTTTGTGCAGGGGTGAAATCTAAAATTTGTTACTACCGGTTCTGTGGGTGTGGCTTGGTGTGGGGGGGTGGGGTAATGTGACTGGGTGTGCATGGCCAATTTTTTTTTTAACTTTTAAAACCATTTTTTCTACAACGTCTTCGGCGAAGAGGTTGTAAAAAAATGCTTTCAAAAGGCTCTGACGATCCCAGCTGAGTTGCCTGATCGTCAGAGGCTTTTTTTTCTTTTAAATGCCTCTGACGATCCCAGCTGAGTTGCCTGATCTTCAGAGGCTTTTTTCTTTTAAATGCCTCTGACGATCCCAGCTGAGTTGCCTGATCGGCAGAGGCTTTTTTTCTTTTAAATGCCTCTGACGATCCCAGCTGAGTTGCCTGATCGGCAGAGGCTTTTTTTCTTTTAAATGCCTCTGACGATCCAAGCTGAGTTGCCTGATCTTCAGAGCCTTTTTTTCTTTTAAATGCCTCTGAGGATCCCAGCTGAGTTGCCTGATCTTCAGAGGCTTTTTTTTCTTTTAAATGCCTCTGAGGATCCCAGCTGAGTTGCCTGATCGTCAGAGGCTTTTTTTTCTTTTAAAAGCCTCTGACGATCCCAGCTGAGTTGCCTGATCTTCAGAGGCTTTTTTTTCTTTTAAATGCCTCTGACGATCCCAGCTGAGTTGCCTGATCGTCAGAGGCTTTTTTTTCTTTTAAAAGCCTCTGACGATCGCAGCTGAGTTGCCTGATCTTCAGAGGCTTTTTTTCTTTTAAATGCCTCTGACGATCCAAGCTGAGTTGCCTTGATCGTCAAAGGGTTTTTTTCTTTTAAATGCCTTTGACGGTCAGGCAACTCAGCTTGGATCTTCAGAGGCTTTTAAAAGGTGCCTGGATAGCTCAGCAGACTAATGCATTGTAATTTAACTCCAGCTGTCTGCAATTAGTAAGTTCGAATCTCTCCAAGGCTCAAGGTTGACTCAGCCTTCCATCCTTTCTAAGGTAGGTAAATTGAGGACCCAGTTTGTGGGGGCAATAAGATGACTTTGTAAAAATATACAAAAGTATGAAGGCTATTGCTTAACGCATTGTATGCTGCCCTGAGTCTCCGGAGAAGGGCGGCATATAAATCAAATTAATAAAAAAAAGAAAAAAGAAAAAAAGCCTCTGCTAATCAGGCAACTAAGCTGGGATCGTCAGAGGCTCTTAAAAGAAAAAAAAGCCTCTTCCTATCATGCAACTCAGCTGGGATCGTCAGAGGCATTTAAAAGAAAAAAAGCCTCTGCTGATCAGGCAACTCAGCTGGGATCCTCAGAGGCTTTTAAAGCATTTTTTTCTACAACCTCTGAAGAGGTTGTAGAAAAAATGCTTTTAAAAGCCTTTGAGGATCCCAGCTGAGCCGCGCGATCATCAGAGGCTTATGTTTTTTACTTTTAAAAACATTTTTTCGGCCAAAGAGGTTGTAGAAAAAATGTTTTTAAAAGTAAAAAAAAAAAGCCTCTGATGATTGTGCAGCTCAGCTGGGTATGGGGGTGGGGGGGGCAGGGATTTTTGCTACCGGTTCTCCAAACCACCCGCCTCCATCGCTACCGGATCGGGCGATCCAGTCCGAACCGGGAGCATTTCACCCCTGTCTTTGTGCCTCCAAATTCTTGGCTGAGTTGTTAAAGGCTTAGTTAGCTAGCATGTGCTAGGACCGGATGGTGCTACGTCAAGACTTATTCTGCAAAGCACCGGAGGCCGGGATGAGAAATACAGGCAGTCCTCGACATACGACCACAATGGAGCCCAACATTTCTGTTGCTAAGCAAGACGGTTGCAAAATAGGCTGACAGCGTAAGCCACTTAGCGAGGACTGTAAAGCACTATCTAAACGCTTTTGCCTTTGCTGTTCGAATGGTCACTAAATGAATGGTTGTAGGTCAAGGACTACTTGCACACATGAATCTAGTCAACTGTCAGCACCAAATTGGTGCTAGGTAAGAGTCAATTACCGAATTGAAGAGGGGTAGAAGTTAGACCATTTGTGGGAACGTAAGGACTCCAGGCTTATTCCTCTCTTGACTCCACCGTCCCAGATTCTACATGAAGTGATAGTTCCAGCATTATGGCTGTAGGACCCCTGGTGGTTAGAATGCAGTATTGCAGGGTAATTCTGCCCACTGCCAGCAGTTCGATCCTGACTCAGCTCAAGGTTGACTCAGCCTTCCGTCCTTCCGAGGTCGGTCAAATGAGGACCCAGATTGTTGGAGGGGCAAGAGGCCGACTCTGTAAACCGCTTAGAGAGTGCTGTAAAGCAGTATAAAGCAGTATATATAAGTTGTAAGTGCTGCATGGTGACACACTTCTGGTAATGCAATATTGCAAGCTAACTCTGCTCGCAGTCAGGAGTTCGATCCTGACCGGCTCAGTTTTGATTCAGCCTTCCGTCCTTCCGAGGTGGGTAAAATGAGGACCCAGATTGTTGTGGGGCAAGAGGCTGACTCTGTAAACCGCTTAGAGAGGGCTGCAAAGCACTATGAAGCAGTATATAAGTCTAAATGCTATTGCTAGGGAAGGGAAGGGAAGGGAAGGGGAAGGGGAAGGAAGGAAAGAAAGGAAAGAAGGAAGGAAGGAAGGCAGGTAGGCAGGCATGGTGGCACAGTTGTTATAAGGCAGTATTGCAAGCTAACTCTGCTCACAGTCAGGAGTTCGATCCTGACTGGCTCAAGTTTATAGGGCCTGGTGGCTCAGCAGACTGATAGCATTGTGATTAACACCAGCTGTCTGCAATTACTGTAAGTTCAAATCTCACCAGGCTCAAGGTTGACTCAGCCTTCCATCCTTTCTAAGGTAGGTAAATTGAGGACCCAGTTTGTGGGGGCAATAAGCTGACTTTGTGTAAATATAGAAAAGTATGAAGGCTATTGCTTAACGCATTGTAAGCCGCCCTGAGTCTCCGGAGAAGGGCGGCATATAAATCAAATTAAAAAAAAAAAAGTTTGACTCAGCCTTCCGTCCTTCCAAGGTCGGTAAAATGAGGACCCAGATTGTTGGGGGCAAAATGCTGACTCTATAAACTGTAAGGGCTGTAAAAGCACTATGAAGCAGTATATAAGTCTAAATCTATTGCTAGGAAAGGGAAGGGAAGGGAGGAAGGAAGGAAGGAAGGCATGGTGGCACAGTTGTTATAAGGCCGTATTGCAAGTTAACTCTGCTCACAGTCAGGAGTTCGATCCTGACCAGCTCAAATTTGACTCAGCCTTCCGTCCTTCCGAGGTCGGTAAAATGAAGACCCAGATTCTTGGGGGCAAGAGGCTGACTCTGTAAACCTCTTAGAGAAGGATGCAAAGCACTATGAAGTAGGTATATAAGTGTAAATGCTATTGCTATTGACAAGCAACTCTCTGCAAGAAAGAAACAGACATATACAAACACTTTTCATAAGTTGTCTTTTAAATTCCACAGATCTCACATTCGAGATTTTGCAGGCCGATGTTAATTCTCAACATCGGTTTTTTTTTCTCCGCAATTGGCCTGTAAACCAGGTTTGTGACTTCTTGGCGCTGCCTCTACGGTTCATAAATCTTGAGTCGGATGGAATATGCACTTAATGCTTGGGGCGGAAGGGAAGAGAAAAAAGCCAAAGGGGCAAGCAAATTTGGGTCAAAAAAAGTCTTAATGGCAGTTGCAATCAGTATCTTACCGGGCTGAAAGTACAGCACATGGAATCTCTGCGCCAAAATCTGGCACTGTCGATCTATCCACTCAAAATTCGTGCCACGTTAAACGGAGAGGAATGCCAATTTGCTAGAATTAAATTGAAGGTTTGGGAAAAAAACACATACACACACACACAAAAATCTCCATTTTAGCCAGCAGGCCTGGACAGCTCGAGATCTTCCTTGCAATCCCTTCCGAGTAATTTCCCAGCCATAGTTCAACGGATGCATTTTTCAGCGGAATGAGAAAAAGTAATTGTGCAAAACAACAAGACAACGCCCGTCACAACTGGGTCTGGCGGGAAGCTCTGGGTTGCATTGACTGGAACACACAATGACACAATGACCCTCACCGCGAAACCCTGCAAGGAACCGGAAGAGGCGGGGAAAAGAAACTTAAGAAAAAGGAAAAATATCTGGCAATACCGTAGAGGTGGAATTTAAGCTTCCGGTTTGCCAGGCTCAGAAGGGAATCGTAGGTGGGTTACGCCGAAGGCTTCGGACGGTTATGTTTGGCAAACCACTCGTGGCTCTTATCGGCCGCCATTGCCTGCAAGGAAGAAAAATTAAATAAATAGTGTTTCCGACTTACAATAATTCATATGGAATAAAATAGAGTAGAGTAGAGTAGAGTAGAGTAGAATAGAATAGAATTAGGAAAAAATAGAATAGAATAGAATAGAATAGAATAGAATAGAATAGAATAGAATAGAATAGAATAGAATAGAATAGAATAGAATAGAATTCTTTATTGGCCAAGTGTGATTGGACCCACAAGGACTTTGTCTTCGGTGCATAAGCTCACATTGCACATAAAAGCTATAAGTGATAAATCATGATCATAGTCGGTAGGATTCAACCAGTTCAGGCCGGTTCGGGCAAAACGGTAGCTAAATTGCTGGCTGGCTCCACCCTTCCACCCCACCTTCAGAGTGCTCCATGGCTTAGGACCTGGTTACCTACTGGACCGCCTGCTGCCACCAATAGCCTCCCACCGGCCAGTACGCTCTCATAGAGAGGGGCTCCTCCGGGTGCCGTCGGCCAAACAATGTCGACTGGCGGCCCCTAGGGGGAGAGCCTTCTCTGTGGGGGCACCTACTGTCTGGAATGAGCTCCCCCCGGAGATATGGAGGATCCCGGATCTGTGTACCTTCCGCCGCGCTCTTAAGACCTTTTTATTCCATCAGGCTGGCCTGGCCTAATCTTTTCGCTTTTTAAAATGTAAATTTTAACCTATTTTAAATTATTGGGGTGTTTTAAATCTGTCTTGGGCCAAAATTGTTTAATTCGGTTTTACTTTGCTTTAAAATTTTGTATTTATGTGTTTTATCTGTGGCTGTTCACCGCCCTGAGTCCTTCGGGAGTAGGGCGGTATATAAATCGAATAAAATCCAAAATCTAAAAATCTTCTTCCAGGAGTCCTCACGTGCCCCATTTTGCCTCCCTGGTAAGTGCATGGAGGTTAGGCCCAAAACGGGGCACGGAGAGGTGCCCCCCCCCCAGCAGCTTGTTCTTGCTCCCGGGGGGGATACAGGAGGCGGAGTGCTGCCTGTCACACCCCCTGGCCACGCCCCCCATGACCACGCCCCCCCCAGCCGGTCATTAGGGCAGATTAAATTATTTGAATCCCACCCGTGATCGCCGTCATCATCAAAATACTTTCATCATAAATCACAAGATACAACACTTAAGGATAGAGTCAGCATAAATCGTACCAGGGAACTAAATAAAAGAATATAAATCGTAAAGGTACAAGCATCAAAGTTATAGTCATAAGTAGAAAAGGAAATAGGTTTTTTTTTTTTTAGGAAAAAAAAATTAGTGACCAGAGTTATGAGGGCCCTGGGGAAAAAAAAAGAAACTTATCACCGTTTTCTCATACTTAAGACTTTGAAGCATTCAAAGTCACGTGGAATCAAAATGTTCAGGTCCCTTCTAGGAAGTTCAGAGTTTTAAGCTAAAGAGGAGTAGGACGAGAAAATCCTGATAATGTTACGTAGTCTGGTCACGAAACGTTCAGAAGCTGAATCGAAACAAGCTTGGAGAGCAAACCGTTGCTAAAATATAAAAGCCGAGCTATCACCGAGTATTTTCTATTGTTTCAAAGTTTTGACCATCCCTGGTTCTCTTGTGGAGATCTGAGCTTATCTGTCATGTCCCACCTTCGAAGCCTGAATCTGCAGCCGATGGAGATTGAGGGGGCGGCTTCGTTGGCTTCGGAGGAAGATGGGGAGGAGCAGGCCGAGTAACAGGCCAGGGCCTTTCAGGATTAGGACGGCTTGTAAGCAGGGAGGAACAGGGGCAGGATGTGGAAGAGGGAACATGAGACAGAGCTCAGGCGATGAGCAGGGACCACTCCCTCCCGATCCTCGAGCACGGAGAGCGGAGAGAAGGCGAGAACGGCGCAGACTTACCCGACTACTCGGGAGGAGAGCGCCGCGCCCCTCTTCACAAAACACACCTTGGGGACTGAGACTGTAGGGAGGAGCATTCGTCAGGAACAAATGCTGAATTCCTGGAGTGTTGAGTGCCGACCTTTGACCTTTCCTGGAGTCCTTCCTGATTTTGGGATTCTTGGCTTTCTGGACTCTTCGACTTGCCTGCTGGGTTTTCTTGCTTGCAGCCGTGGTGTTCACAGTATTGGGCTGGACTATTTGCAGCCAGAGGCTGCTTGAGGTGCGTATGTGTGCATATGTCATCACTTGGCTCTGGGACTGGCCAGAAACGTGGGAGCGTTTGGGGGGGAATTTGGAGCAATAAAGGGGCGGTTTGAACTGCCAGCTGCCTGTGTTGCCTCTGTGCCGTGCCCCCAGGTCATCACATTATCAGAGACCTGGAAGAGAAGATTACCCCCCCCCCAAAACTCACCTCGTCCAAGAGCTTCTCGCCGTTCGGGTCCACCTTGGAGAGCTCCCTGAAGGCCTCGTCCCCGACGAAGCAAATTTCGTGGCCATCCTACGAGAAATGGAAGAGGGAGACCCACAAAAACACAAGTGAGACAACATCATTGGGGGGGTTGCCCAACACGAAGTGGAGATGATGATCAGCACAAATGTATTTTTTGTCTTCGAGACTCTATAGGTCCGTGATGGCGAACCTATGGTGCGGGTGCCACAGGTGGCACACAGAGCCATCTGTGTGGGCATGGGAGTCGTCGCCCCTAGGTCAGCTCCACCGAGTATGCGCGCATGCCTCCCTCCCGCCGACCGACTGCTGGTCTGCAGAGACACGCGCGCATGTGCGAGGGGTACTGGGGGGGGTCGTGCACATATATGCAGGGAGTCGTGTGGGCGTGAACGCATGCACGGGGGGGAGGGGGACGCACTGTGCCCCCCATCCCCATTTTGGGCCTAGCAGGACTCCGTGAAGCCTCCTGGGACCAAAAATGGGCCGGGGACACACACGCATGTGTGGTGGGGGGGACCGCAGGAATGGGGTCACACACGCATGCATAGGGGGTGGGGAAACATGGGGCGCTTGCATGCATGCGCAGGGGGGCAGGGCACGCGGGAGGCATTGCATTATGGGTGTGGGCACGTGTGCGCGCACTGTCGCACACACATGTGCGCTTTCGGCACCTGAGGAAAAAAAAGGTTAGCCATCAATGATATAGGTAGTTCTCGGCTTGCAACTGATCACTTAAGGACCGGTTCCGATGTGTCTCCCTGGGATATGCAGGTAGTCCTTGTCTTACGACAACCGAGCCCTACATTTCTGCTGCTAAGTGAGACATTTGTGAGTTTTGCCGCATTGTACGACCAATCTTGCCATAGTTGTTAAGTGAATCACTCGTTGTAACTTCGAACGGTCACTCAATGAACTGTTGTTAAGCCGAAGACGTCATATCGTCACCGCTACCGGCTCGGCCGAACCGGGCCGAACCAGGAGGAACCCTCCACTGGACCGATTTTAAAATTCCATTTTAAAAATTCTGAATCTTGTAGACAGAGACATTTCTGGTTTTCCACTAGATTCCTGAATGTGCCAGCAAAATGGACAGTTGGTCGAATCAGGGACACACACACACACACACACACACACACACACAAAACTTCTCCTTGGTGGACTTCATAGCCACATAATACGTGACAGAACTTAAAATGTTTCATTAAGGAGGAAGCAAATCTGTGGAGAATACAATACAGGATAGTCCTCAGCTTACAACAGTTCATTTAGCGAGGGTTCCAAGTTACCCCATCTTCATTTAACGACCCCTTAATCCCTTCCGGGGTAGAGTCGTGGGCAACTGAATGGAGCTGAGCGTTTACTGGCCGGATGCCTTTCCTGTCGCCAGTGCGGAGTTCTATTCAGCAGATATATTCACATCGTGCCCAGAGAGAGAAATATCTGCCTCTACCTGGGATCGAACTCACAGCCTCTTGATCTCTAGGCCACTGCACCACTCAGTTCAAAGTTACTACGGCACTGAAAAAAGTGACTGACGACCGTTTTTCACCCTAACAACCTTTGCAGCATTCCCATGTTCACGTAAAATTCAGACGCTTGGCAAATAGAAAAGAGCCTTGATAGTGCAGTGGTCTAAGCACCCTGTTATTAACACAGCTGTCTGCAATTACTGTAAGTTCAAATCTCACCAGGCTCAAGGTTGGCTCAGCCTTCCATCCTTTCTAAGGTAGGTAAAATGAGGACCCAGTTTGTGGGGGCAATAAGCTGACTTTGTATAAATATACAAAAGTATGAAGGCTATTGCTTAACGCATTGTAAGCCGCCCTGAGTCTCCGGAGAAGGGCGGCATATAAATCAAATAAAAAAAATAAATTAAAAAAAATAGTTCATATTTATGATGGTTGCAATGTCCCGGGGGTCACATGATCACTTTTTGCGACCTTCTGACAAGCAAAGCCAATAGGGAATCCAGATTCACTTAACAATCATGTGACTCACTTAACAAATGAAACGACTCGCTTTAAATTTTAAATTTCTGGGATTTTAATTTGAGCCTAATCTATTTAATGATTTTAAATTTTAATCGTTGTTTTGTTTTGTGTTTTAAATAGGCTGTACACCGCCCTGAGTCCTTCGGGAGAAGGGCGGTATAGAAATAAAATTATTATTATAATTATTATTATAATTAATATATAATTATAATTATAATTATTATTATTATTATTATTATTATTATTATTATTATTATTATTAAAAAACTGTGGCCACAAAAGTCGTCAAAAGTAGCATCGCTCCCTTATAACAAATGTTTAGCAACATAAATTTTGGGCTCAGCTGTGGTCCTCACTCATGGACTATCTGTTATCACCAGCCACTCTGGGTCTTAGCCATATTCTTTTTTTTTCCGTGGAGCCTTCACGTTGAGGAGCAGTCTATCTCTGAAAGGCAGGGACTGGAAATAAACATAGCTCTGCTCACAATCACAATTTTTATCAGGTCCGCCTGATCCGCCAGTTGCGTCCCTTTCTGGATCGGGACTCGTTAAATACGGTCACTCATGCTCTCGTTACTTCCCGCTTGGACTACTGCAATGCTCTCTACATGGGGCTCCCCTTGAGGAGCACCCGGAGGCTCCAGCTGGTCCAGAATGCGGCCGCGCGGGTGGTTATGGGAGCGACATGGCGCTCCCATGTGACCCCCCTCCTGCGCGAGCTGCACTGGCTCCCGGTGGTCTTCTAGGTGCGCTTCAAGGTTTTGGTTACCACCTTTAGAGCGCTCCATGGCATCGGACCGGGGTATCTATGAGACCGCCTTCTGCTACCAATAGCCTCTCACCGACCAGTACGCTCCCATAGAGAGGGGCTCCTCAGGGTGCCGTCGGCCAAACAGTGTCGATTGGCGGCCCCCAGGGGGAGAGCCTTCTCTGTGGGGGCACCTACCATCTGGAACGAGCTCCCCCCAGAGATACGGAAGATCCCGGACCTGCGCACGTTTCGCCGTGCTCTCAAAACTTTTCTATTTCAGCAGGCTGGCCTGGCCTAACTCCCATCTTTTAAATTTTTTAAATTTTTAAATTTGTGATTTTATAAATTGGGTGTTTTAATCTGTGTTTCGGCCGAAATATTTAATAATTTTAAGGGATTTTTTAAATATTTGTATTATCTGTATTTTATCTTGGCTGTTCACCGCCCTGAGTCCTTCGGGAGTAGGGCGGTATAGAAATTTGATTAATAAATAAATAAATAAATAATAAATCCAGTCATATATTTATTTTAAGGGCACTTACAGGATCGGCCAAAATGACGACTTGCACCGTTGCTTTCCCCGGTGTGTCCAGGCTCACAAGAGGCGTCAAAATTTTCTGGTTCTCCTTTTTCATTAAGGCTTCAATAACCGGCAACTTGGCAAACAGGATGCAAGGAAGAAGACATTTGGGGAGCGGGGAAGAGAGGAGGCCAAATATAAAAGAGGCACAGTCAATTTGCTGCAAACAATAGCCCTCCCCTTCCAGAAAGTATTTTCAGAACATGAAAAGAAAGCATTTTCGAAACGTAAAAGGAATGTATTTTCATAACGTAAAAAGATTTTCAGAACATGAAAAGAAAAGCATTTTCAAACCGTAAAAAGGTATTTTGAAAATGTAAAAAGGTTTTCCGAAACGTAAAAAAGAGTTTTTAAAATGTAAAAAGATTTTCAAAACGTAGAATTTTCATAACATAAAGTGATTTTCAGAACATGAGAAGAAAGTGTTTTCAAAGCGTAAACAAAGTATTTTCAAAACATGAAAAAGTATTTTGAAAATCTAAAAAGGTTTTTCAAATCGTAAAAAGATTTTCCAAACGTAAAAAGAAAGTATTTTCATAACATAAAAAGATTTTCCAAAACATGAAAAGAAGGCACGTTCAAAGCGTAAACAAAGTATTTCCAAAATGTAAAAAGAATTCTGAAAATGTAAAAATGTTTTTCGAAACCTAGAGCTTTTTTAAAATGTAAAAAGATTTTCAAAACATCGAATTTTCAAAACAGAAAAACCTTTTCAAAACATAAAAATAAAATATTTTCAAAATGCAAAAAGAGCTTTTAAAACGTAAAAAGATTTTCAAAACATAAGAAAGAATTTTCATAACATAAAATGATTTTCAGAACATGAAAAGAAAGCATTTTCAAACCGTAAAAAAGTATTTTGAAAATGTAAAAAGGTTTATTGAAACATAAAAAGGGTTTCCAAATGTAAAAAGAAAGTATTTTCACAACATAAAATGATTTTCAGAACATGAAAAGAAAAACATGTTCAAAGCGTAAACAAAGTATTTTCGAAAGGTAAAAAGGAAGTATTTTGAAAATGTAAAAAGGGTTTTCCGAAATGTAAAAGTTTTTAAAACGTAAAAAGATTTTCAAAACGTAGAAAGAATTTTCATAACATAAAATGATTTTCAGAACAAGAAAGCGTTTTCAAAGCATAAACAAAGTATTTTCAAAACATAAAGTATTTTGAAAATCTAAAAAGGTTTTTCGAAACGTAAAAAGTGTTTTTAAAAAGTGTTTTAAAAGTGTTTTAACGTAAAAAGATTTTCCAAACGTAAAAAGAAAGTATTTTCATAACATAAAAAGATTTTCAAAACATGAAAAGAAAGCACGTTCAAAGCGTAAACAAAGTATTTCCAAAATGTAAAAAGAATTTTGAAAATGTAAAAATGTTTTTCAAAACCTAGAGTTTTTTTAAAACGTAAAAAGATTTTCAAAACATCTAATTTTCAAAACTGAAAAACCTTTTCAAAACATAAAAATAAAATATTTTCAAAATGCAAAAAGAATTTTGAAAATGTAAAAATGCTTTTTGAAACCTAGAGTTTTTTAAAACGTAAAAAGATTTTCAAAACGTAAAAAGAAAATATTTTCAAAACAATTTTTTTCCCTCAAACATAAAAAGAAATCGTTTTCGAAACATTGCTCAAAATCCTTCCTCACTCCTGACTTTGTACTATAAACAGCCAGATAAGTCTTTGACTTCCATCCATTGGTTTAGTGATTGTTCGAAGTTACAACGGGACCAAAAAAAATGACTTATGACCATTTTTCACACTTACAACGGCCCCTGTGGCCATGTGATCAAAATTGGAGGCGATTGGCAACTGGCATGTACTTATGACGGTTGCAGCACCCTGGGGTTATATGATCCGCATTTGTGACCTTCCTTGGCTCGTTCCAAGAAGCCAAGCCAATGGGGGAAACTGGATTCACTTAACGACTGCGTGATTCTTTTAACAACTGTGGCAAAAAAAAAGGTCACAAAAGCAGGACAAAGCTTACTTAGCAACTGGCTTGCTTAGCAATGGAAATACTTGGGGCTCAATTGTGGTCGTAAAATGAGGACCACTTGTAAAGGGCAAAATAAACCTTTGTGCCTGTCGCACCGCGATCTCACCTCTTCCTTCGGGCAAGAGAAAGCGATTCGTCCGAAGGCTGTGCCGTGATCCACATCCTGGCCGATGCTTTGCAGCTCGAGTTTACACTAGAATCAAAAAATAAATAAAAATTAGAACATTTGGGTTTACAAAAAAAAAAAACCCCACACAAAAAACTGACACTGGTCAGTTTTCACACAGCTACCAATCTGGTTTCAGGATGCAAAAACTTCTGAATTGTATATTGTGACGGACAGTTTTGTTGTAGTTTGTCTGTCTTGGGAGAGTGGTTTTCTACTTATTTTCTGCTTGAGTGTTTGTCTGGTATTAATCCCTGCTTATCTGGGTATAGATTGCTGGAGAGGACGGGTTCTGGTCTTTCTGTTTTCCTTCTTGGTTTTTCATTGTCTTTTTGGAATGGGGTGTAAATATGGTGTGATTTCTATTTATTTATTTATTTTATTTTATTTTATTTTATTTTATTTTATTTTATTATTTTATTTTATTCTATTTTATTTTATTCTATTTTATTTTATTATTTTATTATTTTATTTTATTATTATTTTATTTTATTTTATTTTATTTTATTTTATTTTATTTTATTTATTTTATTTTATTTTATTTTATTTTATTTTATTATTTTATTTTATTTTATTTTATTTTATTTTATTTTTTATTTTATTTATTTTATTTTATTTTATTTTATTTTATTTTATTTTATGTTTATACCGCCCTTCTCCTGAAGGACTCGGGGCGGTGAACAGTCAAAATAACACATATATAAAAATGTGAAATAGAAGCAATTTAAAATAATTAAGCCAATTCGGCTCATCAGTTAAGTTAAGATCTTCAGAATAAAATTTGGACAATTAGAAAAAATTATTGATGGTTGACCTGTCTGAACGCCAAGCTTTTAGGAATTGTCTACCGTTTTTGGATTTACGTTCGTCTAGGACAGCGATGGCTAACTTTTTCGGCACCGAGTGCCGAAACCGGAATGCACGTGCATGTGCGCCCGCCAGAGTGCCAGAAACCAAAAACGGCCAGGAAAACAGGCCAAAAAATGGCCCAAAACACAGCCTGAAAACAGCCCGGAAAACGACCTGTTTTTTGGCTGTTTTTGAGGCAGTTTTCCGGCGCTCCACTGCCACTGGAAAAGTTCCACCGGAAGTTGAGAAACAGGCCATTTCTCGCCTCCGGAGGGTGGAGAAGGCCATTTTCGCCCTCCCCAGACTCCTAGAAAGGCTCTGGAGGCTGGGGACAGCAAAAAAAAAAAAAAAAACGGTCCTTCCTCACCACCACCGTGAGGCCCTCGGAGGCAGGAAACAGCCCATTTCCCTACTTCTGGTAGGCCCAGAAGGCCCGAAAATCAGCTGGTGGCGCCGAAGCTGAGCTCACGTGCCCACCAATATGCTATGAGTGCCACCTGTGGCAAGCTTGCCATAAGTTTGCCATCACGGTCTTAAAGCATGCAGGCTGAGGAATGCTGGGAATTGAAGTCCAGACATCTTAAAACATGCAGGCTGAGGAATGCTGGGAATTGAAGTCCAGACATTTTAAACCATGCAGGCTAAGGAATGCTGGGAATTGAAGTCCAGACATCTTAAAGCATGCAGGCTGAGGAATGCTGGGAATTGAAGTCCAGACATCTTAAAACATGCAGGCTGAGGAATGCTGGGAATTGAAGTCCAGACATTTTAAACCACGCAGGCTGAGGAATGCTGGGAATTGAAGTCCAGACATCTTAAAGCATGCAGGCTGAGGAATGCTGGGAATTGAAGTCCAGATATCTTAAAGCACACAGGCTGAGGAATGCTGGGAATTGAAGTCCAGATATCTTAAAGCATGCAGGCTGAGGAATGCTGGGAATTGAAGTCCAGACATCTTAAAGCAGGCAGGCTGAGGAATGCTGGGAGCTGAAGTCCACCCACCTTCAAGTCTCTAAGGTGGAGAAACCCTACCCTAAGAACATCAACCTCACCTGATTATCGGCATAACCGAGCAAAACTTTCTTCTTGCCTTCGTCCTTCTCATACACTTTCATGCCCAGCAATTTGGACCAGTAGTCCACCGATTTCGACAGGTTGGATACAGCCAGGGTTACCTTCAACACCGGATCTGGAAGGTAACAACAACAACATAGATGGGCTCAAGTCTAGACTTTGTGGCAGGATAAGGTGAGCTGGGGGGCCACCTGGCCACTCAAAACATCTCGCCAGGGGTGGGTTCTAATTTTTTTTACTACTGGTTCTGTGGGTGTGGCTTATTTTGTGGGTGTGGCTTGGAGGTCATGTGACTAGGTGGGCGTGGCTAGCTGGTCAGAGTCATTTCTGGAAGGTCCTTGCACTTACGACCAGTCCTCGCACGTACGACCCGACTCATTTGTTTGCTTTTAACACTGATCAGCTGTAGGACGGCCCTTTGAAGCCTCGCGGCAAGAGTTTAAACAGTTTTTTTTCCCTCTAGTCATCAGCTGGGACTCAGGAGGCAGCAATAGATTGGGGGTGGGGCCAAATAAAAGGTAAAAATAACGTGGGGGGGTGGGAGGGCATGGGGGGGAGAGAACCGGTTTGGTGACGTCATCATCACTGCTACCGGCTCGGCCGAACCGGACCAAACCGGGAGGAACCCACCACTGCATCTCGCCCAGATTCACCCTGAGACATTCGGATCCTCGCATGGGTCAGCCAGAGGCCTTCACCACTAAATCCCAACCATCAGTGAGTCCCATGGTTTCCCAACCGCATCTGAAGGATATCTGAGTGCTTAGAATAGAATAGAGCTCGAAGGGACCTTGGACGTCTTCTCGTCTAACCCTCTGCTCAAGCAGGAGACGAACCTATGTGCACAGGTGCCACAGGTGGCATGCGTAGACATTTCAGTGGGCATGCGAGCTCAGCTCCGGCACACATGCATGTGCCAGCCAGCTGATTTTCTCTCTCACCAGCCTCCAGAGCCTTTCTAGGAGTCTGGGGAGGGTGAAAATGGCCTCCCCCTCTCCCCGAGGCCCTCCAGAGGCCAGAAACGGCCTGTTTGCCAACTTCCAGCGGGGAACTATAAGTATAAATATAATTTTATTTCTATACCGCCCTTCTCCCGAAGGACTCAGGGCGGTGTACAGCCTATTTAAAAACACAAGACAAACATCAATTAAAAATTTAAAATTATTAAATAAATTCGGCTCAATTTAAAACCCCAGAAATTTAAAATACCCCAATTTAAAATAATTATGTTGATAGCCCGGCCTGGCGGAAGGCTGTTTTCGCCCTCCCCAGGTTCCTAGAAAAGCTTGGAGCCTGGGGAGAGCAAAAAAACAGGCCTTCCGGTCCCACCGAAAGTTGGCAAACGGGCCGTTTCCAGCCTCCGGAGGGCCTTGGGGGTGGGGGGCAAAAGGCCGTTTTTGCCCTCCCCAGACTCCTAGAAATGCTCTGGAGCATGGGGAGAAAGAAAAACAGGCCCACTGGGCCATCACATGCCAGGAGCAGAGGGAGCGTGGGGTTGATCGTGCATGGGGACGGGGTGCATAGAATTATGGGTGTGGACACGCACGCGCATGACCCTCCCCCCCGGCTCCTGGCACGCAATGGCAAAAAGGTTAGCAATCACTGCCCTATACCATTTCAGACAAATGGTTGTCTAATCTCTTCTTAAAAACCTCCAGTGATGAAGTGCCCACGATTTCTAGTGGCAAGCTGTTCCAGTGGTTAAATGGTCCTCGCTGTTAGGAAGTTTCTCCTTCATTCCGGGTTGCTTCTCTCCTTCATTCTTCATTCTCTCCTTCATTCTTCTCCTTCATTCATCCTTAGTTTCCATCTGTTGTTTCTTGTCCTGCCTTCAGGAGCTTTGGAGAATAAATTGACCCCCTCCTCTTTTGGCAGCCCCTCAAATACTGGAATACTACTATCATGTCCCCCCAAGTCCTTCTTTTCTCTAGATTGGCCAAATATTGGCCATATTCTTCGTATGTTTTCGTCTCCAGGCCTTTAATCATCTTAGTTGCTCTTCTCTCCACTTTTTCTAAAGTCCCAACATCTTTTTTGTAACGTGAGGACCATAACTGGATGCCGTACGTGTATAGGTAGCCCTCAACTTATGTCCACAATTTGAGCCCAAATTTCTGTGGCTAAGTGAGACATTTCTGAGGTGAATTTTGCTCCATTTTACAACCTTTCTTGCCACCGTTGTTAAATGAATCACTGCAGTTAAGTTAGCAATACAGTTGTTAAGTGAATCTGGCTTCCCCGTTTACTTTGCTGCGGAGCTGGCAGCGGAGTCGGACAGTGAGGAGGCTGGGGAGGAACATGGGCCAGTCCTGGAGGCTGGGGAAGGCCCGGACGAGGGCTTTGCATCAGAGGCAGAGATGGGGCGAGGGCCATCTGGGAGCAATGCACGGACTCCGGAGCCTCCAGAGTCGGACAGCAGAGAGGCAGAGGAACAGGAGGAGCCTGTTCGTAGTGCGCGCATGCGGAGAGCTGCCAGAAAGCAAGAGCAGCAAAAAGCAAAAAGGACGACTCAGGAGTAAGGCCAGGAGATGATTGGCCCCTCCCATAAAAGAGCAGCAAACTCTTGGGCTCTTTGTAGGAAAGCAACGTTGCTACATTTGTTTCTTGTCTTGTTCCTGAACTTTGTGGGGCTTTGCCATGAAAAGCCTTTGGCAGGGTGCCAAAGAAGATAAAGGTTTGTGATAAGGCCGAAGGACTTTTTCTGAACGACTTGTTTTGGAATTAATTTGGACTAAGCTGAGAATGAACGTAATTCTCAGCTGTTCTAATAAAATATGTTCATTTAGGACTGATTGTGTCTGGCAATAACTACTTGGGTCTTGGTCGCAACACGTAAGTCATTTTTCAGTGACGTAATGGTCACTAAGTCAACTGTTGTAAGTCGAGGACTACCTGTATTCCTGGTGTGGTCTTAACTAACGATTTATAAAGAGGTGCTCTTCATTCATCATTCTTCAAAGCTCCTGAGGACGTTCTATCATCTTCCCCCGAATTTAGGCTTCAGATGTGCAAACAAAATGGCAGCAGCCTCATTATTCTGTTCTGCTCCTTACCTTCTTGGGCTCGTTCTTTGTCTTCCAGAAAGAACTTATATCCTCCTGGGGCTTCTGATTCATAAGTGCCTGCTGAGGCCTCTTTCAGCGGCCACTGCAATTTTCTGGCATTTTTCACAGCCTGGCTCGAGGTAACGGTCATCCCCTGTATAAGCACGAGAAAAAAAATAATTAAAAAAAGATGTGGGGACTCTAGAAAGAGTGCAGAGAAGAGAAACGAAGATGATTAGTGGACTGGAGGCTAAAACATATGAAGAACGGTTGCAGGAACTGATTACGTCGATTTTGATGAAAAGAAGGATTAGGGGAGGCATGATAGCAGTGTTCCAGTATCTCAGGGGCTGCCCCAAAGAAGAGGGAGTCAAACTATTCTCCAAAGCACCAGAAGGCAGGACAAGAAACAACGGGTGGAAACTAATCAAGGAAAGAAGCAACTTAGAATTAAGGAGAAATGTCCTAACAGTGAGGACAAGTAACCAGTGGAACTGCTTGCCACCAGAAGTTGTAAATGCTCCAACACTGGAGGCTTTTAAGAAGAAATTGGACAAACATAACTGCTAATTTATTGGCAAAACCATGATAAAGCATGGCCATGTGATTGTGGGACACTGCAAATGCCATAACTTTGTCTGAAATGGTATAAGGTTTATATTCTTCATTCCACTATTCTATTCTATTCTATTCTATTCTATTCTATTCTATTCTATTCTATTCTATTCTATTCTATTCTATTCTATTCTATTCTATTCTATTCTATTCTATTCTATTAATTCTATTCCATTCCGAGAAAATAACCTTAAAATGCTAAAAAAATGTTCACAGCACTTTGGAAGGAGGGGAAAAAAGTACGGAATATCTTCATCCAGATAGTCCTCATCTTATGACCACAAGGGACCCCCAAATTTCTTTCGTTAAGAAAGACCATTCTTGAGTTTTGCCCCAAAGTTTACTTTTCTTGCCACCGTTGTTAAGGGAAGCGCAGCAGTTGTTAAGTGAGTTACACGGTTGTTAAGTTAATCTGGCTTCCCCGTTGAATTTGCTCGTCAGGTTGTAAAAGGGGATCACGTGACACTGGGACACTGCGACGGTCGTAAATACGAGTCAGTTGCCAAGCGTCTGAATTTTGATCACGTGACTATGGGAATGCTGTAACGGTCGTAAGTGTGAAAAAAAGCTGTCATAAGTCACTTTTTTCAGTGCCGTCGTAATGTCGAACAGTCACTAAACAAACAGTTGTAAGTCGAGGACCATCTGTAATACCCTTCCTCCTTTTTATGCAAATTCCAGATTATATAACGATCGACAAAGCCATATTGGGAATGACGCTTACCAGGAAATCATTGCCAAGGTGGTAATTCCCAACACCGTAGTTGTAAGTTAGCTCTGCGACGAAGTGGCCGTCCTCCGGTCCGTAGCCCACCATAGTTTTACTCCATTTGCCATCATAGGGACTAGAAACATATCCAGTTTAAGTTGTTTACAGGAACAGCATCACAAGTAAAACATCTTATGCTTCCCTCAGAACACCCTTGAGTTTACAAGTAGGCCTCGCCTTATGACCACAGATGGAACAAGAATTTCCACTGATAAACGAGGCAGTTGTTAAACGAGGCGTGCCCAATTTTACGACCATTTTTTTTTTGGCCACGGTTGTTAAGCAAGTCCCTTCAGCTGATTTGTGAATCACACAGTCATTAAACTGCAATGATCATTAGTGAGACAAATAGGAGCCTTGGTAGTACAGTGGTTTAAAGCACCCTGTTATCAAGACCAGCTGCCTGCAATTACTGCAGGTTCGAATCTCGCCAGGCTCAAGGTTGACTCAGCCTTCCATCCTTTCTAAGGTAGGTAAATTGAGGACCCAGTTTGTGGGGGCAATAAGCTGACTTTGTATAAATATACAAAAGGATGAAGGCTATTGCTTAACGCACTGTAAGCCGCCCTGAGTCTCCGGAGAAGGGCGGCATATAAATCAAATAAAAAAAAAAAAACAGTCAAAAGTGACTTTTTTCCAATGTTGTTGTTATGGCCCGCCAGCTGCCAACTCGGATGATGAGGAGGTTGGGGAGGAACTTGGGCCAGTCCTGGAGTCTGGGGAAGGCTCTGATGGATGCTCTGCGTCGGAAGCAGAGAGAGAGAGCCAGGGCCATTGGACATTTCCCAGCTGCCTTTGGAGGCGGATATGAGTGAGGAGGAAGAAGAGCTGGGCCCTGTTCCAGATTAACGTATGCGCAGAGCAGTTAGGAGAGGAGAACAACGGAGGACAAGGAGTCGACTCGGGAAGCAAAGCACATGTGAACGCTGAATGGCCCCTCCCTGGCTGGGGAATAAATAGAAGGAAAGGGGAGTGGTGGTCGTAGGAGACAACCGTTCGTATTTCTGAAGATTTTGCTCATTGTGTTTCGTGTCTCAGAGCCTGCTTGAGAGAGTTTAATTTACAGCTTTGTGCAGTGGTGGGATTCAAATAATTTAACAACCGGTTCTCTGCCCTTATGACTGGCTGGGTGGGCGTGGCCACGGTGGGCGTGACCAGAGGTGTGTGACAGGCAGCACGTCGCCTCCTGCACACCACTTGGAGCAAAAACGGGCCGTGAGGGAGGGGTGCCGCTCCCCCCATGCCCCGTTTCGGGCCTAATAGGCTTCTCTGCAGCCTCCTGGAAATGAAAACGGGCCGCGGGGGGGCACACCCCCTGCACCCCGTTTTAGGCTTAGTAGGCCTCCCTGCATTTACCTGGGAGCCAAAAGAGCCTTGGTAGTACAGGGGTTTAAGGCACCCTGTTATTAAGCTTATTAAGACCAGCTGCCTGCAATTACTGCAGGGTTCGAATCTCGCCAGGCTCAAGGTTGACTCAGCCTTCCATCCTTTCTAAGGTAGGTGAAATGAGGACCCAGTTTGTGGGGGCAATAAGCTGACTTTGTATAAATATACAAAAGGATGAAGGCTATTTCTGAGCACATTGTAAGCTGCCCTGAGTGTTCGGAGAAGGGCGGCATATAAATCAAATTTAAAAAAAAAAAAAATGGGGCGTGTGGGGACTCCTGGAAGGGGCGGGGCCAGCCAACAATTTAATTACTGTTCGCCTTACCGGCTGAATTTCAGCACTGGCTTTGTAGCTGGAAGCTCCCGGCCTGGCAATAATCCAAGAACTGATAAGGTCTGCACTTCAGTTAACCCTTGGAAGGATTAGGGTTGCGTGGACTTTTCTGTGTGTGAATGCCATGAATTCCCAGTAGTTAAATCAAGAGGGTTTTTTCGGGACAAGGGGTTTTGTCTCTTGGTTCTGCTAACAGTTGTAACTTCGGACGGTCACTAAATGAACTGTCCTATGTCGAGGATTTCCTGCACAGCAGCTAAGACAACCCAAAGCCTAGGGAGCCTTGGCGGTGCAGCGGACTAAAGTGCTGTTAAGTAGCACTCAGCTGCCAGCTGCCTGCAATTACTGCGAGTTCAAATCTCACCAGGCTCAAGGTTGACTCAGCCTTCCATCCTTCCGAGGTAGGTAAAATGAGGACCCAGATTGTGGGGGCAATAAGCTGACTTTGTATAAAAAAGAACACCGCTTGGGGGGGCCAAAAAGCCCTACTAAGCAGGTATATACAAAAGTATGAAGGCTATTGCTTAACGCACTGTAAGCTGCCCTGAGTCTCTGGAGAAGGGCGGCATATAAATCGAACGAATAAATAAATAAAGAGCCCTGGTGGCGCAGCAGACTAAAGCACTGTTATTAACATCAGCTGCCTGCAATTACTGCAAGTTCAAATCTCGCCAGGCTCAGCCTTCCATCCTTTCTAAGGTAGGTAAAATGAGGACCCGGATTGTGGGGGCAATAAGCTGACTTTGTATAAATATACAAAAGTATGAAGGCTATTGCTTAACACATTGTAAGCCGCCCTGAGTCTCCGGAGAAGGACGGCATATAAATCAAATTAATTAATTAATTAATTAATTAATTAATTAATTAATTGAATAAATAAATAAATAAATAAATCTAACGCAGAAGATAAAATCATCATACCTGCTGAAGGGTTGCAATTATAAGGCGTCAAAATCTCTGCAGAAAGGAGTAGAGAAGTTCTGCCTAGTTGTTTTTTGTTTTTTTTTAATTTGAGTTATATGCCGCCCTTCTCCGGAGACTCAGGGTGGATTACAATGCGTTAAGCAATAGCCTTCATACTTTTGTACATTTATACAAAGTCAGCTTATTGCCCCCACAAACTGGGTCCTCATTTTACCTACCTTAGAAAGGATGGAAGGCTGAGTCAACCTTGAGCCTGGTAAGATTCGAACCTGCAGTAATTGCAGGCAGCTGTGTTAATAACAGGGTACACTAAACCACTGTACTACCAAGGCTCTTGTGTAGTTCCCTACACATTCCTCGTTGGTGAGACAGCAGGGCCCGTAAACCCTCCAAATCCAGTCAGTTTTTTTTGATAAGAGTAGCCAGGATGAAACCTACATACCCGTTGCAGGTGGCCTTGCAACCTTCTTCAAATTCTTCATGCCTCAGGATCTGTTGGATCAAGCCCACATCAAACTGGGTCAGTAAACAGAAGGGTAGAATCAAGATCGCGTGAAGTTATTACTACCGCTTTATAAAGCCTTAGTAAGGCCACAACTGGAATCCTGCATCCAGTTTTGGTCCCCACATTACAAAAAAAGATACCGAGACTTTGGAAAGAGTGCAGAGAAGAGCAACTAAGATGATTAAAGGCCTGGAGACAATTATGAAGAATAGTTGCAGGATTTGGTCAGTCTAGAGAAAAGAAGGACTAGGGGAGACTTGATAGCAGTCTTCCAGTATTTGAGGGGCTGCCCCAAAGAGGAAAGGGTCAAGCTATTCTCCAAAGCACTTGAAGGCAGGACACAAAATAATGGATGGAAGCTAATCAAGGAGAGAAGCAACATGGAATTAAGGAGATACTTCCTAACAGTGAGGACAATTAACCAGTGGAACAGCTTGCCACCAGAAGTTTTAAGGGAGGTTTTAAGAAGAGACTGGATAGCCACTGATCTGAAGGGGAAAGCCAGTTAGTTGACTTTGAGCCAGCCCTTTTCTCCCAGCCCTAGGAAGGAGGCAATGTCAAACCACTTGGGGATGTGGGGAAAAAAAACCACCTCTCTCCAAGCAAACCGCAAATCCACTAAAATTGCAGTCCTTTTCTCTGAAATGGTCTATCTCCTGCTTGAGCAGTGAGGGTTGGACTAGACGACCTCCAAGGTCCCTTCCAGCTTTATTCCGATGGATTGAGATTCAAATCACTTGCACAGAGAGAGAGAGAGAGCCACAGGCAAGTGTCTCTTGAAACCGATTTATTTACAAAATGTATTTCTACACAGTAAGTCCTTGACTTACGACCCCCAAAATTGAGCCCAAAATTTCTGTTGCTTAGGCAAAACAGTTGTTAGGTGAGTTTTTGCCTCATTTTATGACCTTCCTCGCCACATTCGTTAAGTGAAAGACTGCTCTGGTAAGTAGTATGTAGTTTGTTTGTTTGTTTGTTTGTTTGTTTATGTATGTATGTATGTATGTATGTATGTATGTATGTATGTATGTATGTATTTATTAGTCGCATTTCTATGTTGCCCAACTCCCTAGAGACTCTGGGCGGCTTACAGCAAAAAAAAAAAAAAAAAAAGTTAGTATGTAGTTAGTATGTAGTATGTAGTTAGTAAGATGTTAGTAACCTGGTTGTTAAGTGAATCTGGCTTCCCCATTGATTTTGCTTGTCAGAAGGTCGCAAAGGGGGATCACGTGACCCGGGGACACTGCGACCGTCATAAATATGAGTCGGTTTGCCAGGTGTCTGAATTTTGATCATGCGACCATGGGATGCTGCAACGGTCGTAAGTGTGAAACAGGGTCCTAAGTCATTTTTTTCAGTGCCGTTGTAATTTTGAACGGTCACTAAATGAACTGTTGTAAGTCGAGGACTCCCTGTACATGGACAAGTGACTACGGTCTTACTTAGTGCAGAGAAAACAATTTAAGTGTAAATCTTGAAAGTTATGATTGGCGAAAGCAAACGACGCTAGCCAAGGAAACTTGGATGCAACAGGTAGCCGTAGCTTAGTGGCCGCTCTAGGGAATCAATTCTCGGTGGACTTCCGCCTCAGAGGGCCGATGGCGATGACGTCATTCCTTAGGTTCCAAGCCCTCCGCATTTTCTCGGGTCTCTGGTCCCCCCACCTACTTACGCGCATGCCCAGTAGCTCTCGATAAAAACGGATGGTCTGAGCTCGGTCGCCGACTTTGAAGACAAAATGTAACGCGCGTCTCGCCTTCATTTTGGTCTCTCAAAAGATCGCGGAGGTAACACGGGTTCTGGGATTGTCGGCTATTTTATTTTGTCGCGGCGTGTCGCCGTCTGATAACGTCACAGACTCAACATGGCCGGAGACCCGCCTCCATATGGACTCAAGTCTTCCGGTACAGAAAATCCCCCCCCATTGAAAGCCAATAGGAGCTGCTATTTCTAACCGGAAGTTCCTGTTGTTTCTAGGCGCTCTATATCAGTGCCTCTATGGCTGAACTGAACCATTGTTTTCATTCGAGACAGCTATCCTTCTCCTTGACATCGAAATCTCGCGAGGCTAGCGCTAAGTCCCGCGTCTTTGACTATTTCCGCCCGTGAGCAAGATGGCATCCTTGTTCAGGCATGCGTGGGCTCCTGTGCTCTTGACGCCGTGTCGGATTAGCGCTGTGAGCCGCCGCGGCATTCGCGGTCTAAGGAGGAAACCTCTCCGCGTGCTTCCTTCGGTCGCGGAGGCGCAGGAGAAGCAACGGATCGTCCCCAGCAAAGTTAAGGCCACTCACATCCCAAAAGCGACTCCAAAGGAGCGCCAACCGGAACCGGAACCCGAAGAGGCGGAGCTGCGTTACGAGCGGGCCGGACCCACTGAGAAAAGACTGCGGTAATTTAATTCGCGCAAAGCATCCTGGGTACTGTAGTGCGAGCTGCTGGGGAAAACAAACGGAGGTGGAAGGAGCGAACCACAATTCCCAGCGTCCTTCGGGAGAAACGAGAGTCGCCGATTGTGACCACCTGCAATGCTTTCTGGGAATTGTAGTTTTGAGGGGAAATCAAGGCGAAAAAAGCTATATTTTTCTTTCTGTGACGAAAAATCCGCCGGGGATATTCGTTTTTCCTCCTATCCTTTCCTTCTTTCCCTCACGTTGCTGTCGGAGCTGACATATTGGACTCCAACTCCTGATTTCCATCAATGCCCATCACTCCCCACAGGCAGCAGCACCAGTGATGGAGTCAAATCCTTGCTGGCCTGTAACAATGGGAGTTGTAGTCCATTTGATCTAAAGTAAACTGCCTCAGAAAAGCCCTTTTTTCTTTCTTTCTTCGCTTACATGTGAAATATTTTAGGCTTGGATGTGCAATTGACGCGCCATGATTTAAACGTGTGACTAACCCATTCCACCCCTAAACAAATCAGGCCAAAGACAGAAAAGAAGCTTAACTGTCTGGCTTTGCAGTGGAAATTTCAGACTCAGTTGGGGTGGTAAATTAAGGATTACCTTTAAAATAGATAGATGTAGGTAGATAGACAGACAGACACACAATAGAAATGGATAGGTATGGATGGATGGATATGATAGATGAGAGTTAGGCCTGGCCTAACTCTCCCTTTTAAATTTTTAAATCGTTTGATTTGTTTTATAAATTGGGTGTTTTAATTTGTGTTTCGGCCAAAATATTTAATAATTTTAAGGGACTTTTAATGTTTGTATTATCTGTATTTTATCTTGGCTGTTCACCACACTGAGTCCTCCGGGAGTAGGGCGGTATAGAAATTTGATAAATAAATAAATAAATAAAGATACAGATGATACACATAGATAGACGAGAGAGAGAGGGAGAGATATTGATGGATGAAAGATAGAAATAGCTAGAGAGCTAGATAGATGATAGATGACATACTGTACATATAGATTAGATAGAGATTGATAGATGATACATAGCTATATATAAATAGAGATAAGATAGATGGTGGAAGGTAGGTAGGTAGATAAAGACACATGATAGCGATGGATAGATATGGATGGATAAATATGATAGATGATACAGATGATATAGGTAGAAGATAGATAGATAGATAAATAGATAGATAGATAGATAGATAGATAGATAGATAGATAGATAGATAGATAGATAGATAGATAGATAGATAACTGGTGGATAGATAGAGATGGATAGATATGAAGATGGATATGGATGGGTAATTATGATACAGATGATGTAGGTAGATGATAGATGGTAGATAGATAAGATAGATATTGATGGATGAATGATAGAAATAGAGAGCTAGATAGATATAGATGACATACTGTACATACATACATAGATTAGATATTGATAGATGATATATAAATAGAGAAGATAGATGATGGAACGTAGGTAGATAAAGACACATGATAGAGATGGATAGATATGGATGGATAAATATGATAGATGATACAGATGATATTGGTAGATGATAGATAGATAGATAGATAGATAGATAGATAGATAGATAGATAGATAGATATTGATGGATGAATGATAGAAATAGAGAGCTAGATAGATTAGAGACAGAGAAAAAGAAAGAGATAGACAGAATGATATAAAATGAGATACATAGATGGATGCATAACCCCATGACTATCATTAAGTGGTGTACCTTATGATTCTTGATGAATGTATCTTTTCTTTTATGTACACTGAGAGCGTATGCACCAAAGACAAATTCCTTGTGTGTCCAATCACACTTGGCCAATAAAGAATTCTATTCTATTCTATTCTATTCTATTCTATTCTATTCTATTCTATTCTATTCTATTCTATTCTATTCTATTCTATTCTATTCTATTCTATTCTATTCTATTCTATTCTATAAGATAGAGAGATAGAGACAGAGATTAGACAGAGGGAGTCAGTCCATTTTTGGGTGATGCCCGGTTTCTTTCTTTTGCTTTTTCTTTTGTTTTACAGCCTTCCTGTCTGGGGAGACTTTCATAGACCCCCTTTTTCCCCAACAGGAATTTGGTGACCCTTGCTAAGTCCAGGGCATTTCGTGAGAAGAATGGGAGAATTCTGCTGGAAGGCCGGAGGCTCATTTCGGACGCTCTGGAGGCAGGAGCTGTTCCGCAGACGATCTTCTTTAGCCTAATGGAGAATCTGAAGCTGCTGCCGGCGGCCAAACTCAAACGGGCCACCCTGGTCAAAGTGAAATACAACGAGATCAAGATGTGGTCAGATGTCATCACACCACAGGGGTTGATCGGTAAGTTCCGCTAGAAATCGGAGGGCTTCAGATTTAGTTGCTATGTATTTATGAGATTTTTATCCTGCCTTTACAACTTTGTAAGTAACTTGAAGCAGGGAACTTATCTAATGTTCCTTCCTCCTCCTGTTTTTCTCACCACAACAACTCTGTGAGGTGGGTTGGGCTGAGACAGGAGCTGGCCCAAAGTCACCCAGCTGGCTTTCATGCCTAAGGCAGGACTAGAACTCACCATCTCCTGGTGATTGGCCCAAAGTCACCCAGCCAGTTTTCATGCCTAAGGCTGGACTAGAACTCACCATCTCCTAGTGATTGGCCCAAAGTCACCCAGCCTGCTTTCATGCCTAAGGCAGGACTAAAAGCCACTGTCTCCTGTTGATTGGCCCAAAGTCATCTAGCTAGCCTTTGAGCCTAAGGCAGGACTAGAACTCCCAGTCTCCTGGTGATTGGTCCAAAGTCACCCAGCCTGCTTTCATGGCTGAGGCGGGACTGGAACTCACCATCTCCCAGTGATTGGCCCAAAGTCACCCAATCATCTTTCATGCATAAGGCAGGACTAGAACTCACAGTCTCCTACTGATTGGCCCAAAGTCACACAACTGGCTTTCGGGCCTAAGGCGGGACTAGAATTCAGTCTGCCAATGATTGACCCATAGTCACCCAGCCAGCTTTCGCACCTAAAATGAAACTAGAATTCACAGTCTCCTAGTGATTGACCCAAAGTCACCCAACCGAATTTCGTGCCTAAGACGGGACTAGAACTCACTGCCACCCGTCGATTGGCCCAAAGTCACCCAACCAGCTTTCGTACCTAAGGCAGGACTAGAACTCACCTTCTCCTGGTTTCAAAGCCAGCGCCTTTAACCACTCCACCAAGCTGACTCAGAGAGTGGTTTGTCCCCGCCTTAGCATCTGGGCTGAGTAGGATCCCACGGGAACCACCTCTGAGTAAAGCTTTTGGTCCTTTCTTGGTGTTTTACCTTGTTGAGCAATGTTTCTTGCTTTTTTTTTTTCAAAGCAGTGCATATAAATCACTCTACAGCTGGCTGCTTTCCAGCAGTTAAAACTTTGGAACAAACTCCTGGGAAAGTCTCATAAAAAAAATCCCTGCAGATGCTTCGCACCTTCTCACGTCTCTCCGTTGTGCGTTGGCGTCCGAGGAGGTTATCCACGGGGCTCTCTGGCTAAGCGCCGCTCAATCCTTTTGAGGATTTTTCCTAACCGCGAAATTTTTTTTTTCCCAGGATGAAGGAAGCTTGGGCGGGAGGGCGAAATCCCGTACCTGACGCCGAAAAAGCAGTTTGTGGTTTTTCAAGAAGGGACCTGCCTTTGTTTTTTTAGCGCTCGATTTGGGGGAGTTGTGAAAAAGACATTTCTGAACACTGGAGAGCGAAAGAGAGAAAGAAAAAGAAATTAAGCCGTTTTTGCTCCGTCTTTTCGCCTTGCCAGCTGAGGCCCTGGGTGGAAAAGATGCAGCAACTTCTGTGTTAGGATCAGGGTTCAAGACTTGAATGTTGAAACCCCCCTCCCCAACGACAACTTTGAAATGTTGCAAGCTGATAGTGAGTGGGACGCGGTGGCTCAGTGGCTAAGACTTTGAGCTTGTCGATCGAAAGGTCGGAAGTTCAGCGGTTCGAATCCCTAGCGCCGCATAATGGAGTGAGCTCCCGTTACTTGTCCCAGCTTCTGCCAACCTAGCAGTTCGAAAGCAGGTAAAAAATGCAAGTAGAAAAATAGGGACCACCTTTGGTGGGAAAGTAACAGCGTTCCGTGCGCCTTTGGCGTTGAGTCATGCCGGCCACATGACCCCGGAGACAGTCTTCGGACAGCGCTGGCTCTTCGGCTTAGAAACGGAGATGAGCAGCGCCCCCTAGAGTCGGGAACGATCAGCACATACGTGCCCTACGCCCTGTTTTTGGTCCCAGGAGGCTTCAGGGAGGCCTGTTAGCACCAAAATGGGGAAGGGGGCACCCCACACCCCATGCATGCACGCACCTCTCCCGGCAGAGACCCGAAAATCAGTTGGCCAGTGAGAGACGTGCAGGCATGCGCGGTGGAACTGACCTGGGCATCGACTCGCGTGCCCGGAGAGATAGGTCCGCGTGCCACCTGTGTCACGTGTGCCATAGGTTCGCCATCACGGATCTACGACAACTCGCCACGGCCTTCCCACCAGAGGGCAACTCGCTGTGGGATCAGCGGTTCATTAATTTAGTCCTCGACTTATGACCACAACTGAGCCCAACATTTCTGCCACCAAATAAGATGTTTATTAAGTGAGTTTTGCCCCCTTTTTATGACCCAAAGCTAACCCTTTCTTGCCAGGGTCGTTAAGCGAATCACTGGTTGAATTAGGAACCCGGTTGTTCAGTGGCTTTGACTTTGCTTGTCGGAAGGTCGTAAAAAGGGACCGCGTGACTCCGGGACGCTACAACTATCATAAATAGGAACCAGGTGCCTAATTTTGATCATGTGACCACGGGGATGCCGAAATGGTCGTTAAGTGTGAAAAACGGTCCTAAGTCACTTTTTTCAGCACCGTTGTTACTTGGGACAGTCTGTTGTTAAGTCGAGGGCTACCTATACCGGTATACATAGATTTCACTATTTCTCTTTTTTCCCATAACAATAGCCTTGTGAGGTAGGCTGGGCTGAGAGAGGGTCATTGAGCATGTTAAGGATATTCGTGGCTCATAACCGATGTTGTGGGTTATTGAGCAGAGTACCCTTTGAGTAAACGCATGAAAAGCGACTGGGAGTGGTTGTGAACAATCACAGTCAACATACAAACACACTGAGTTATTGTAGTCTTTTACTTTTAGAAAAAGTAAACCAAAGTCCAAAAACAATCCAAGTCATGCACAGATAAGACGAGAGTTAAAAGATCAATCCAAGGATATTTCAAGTACAAAGTCTTCTTACCAGTCGTAATCATACACAATAAAAAAGTTCTTCTTGAGTTTCAAAACAGGAACAAGTTCAATATCAAAATATTCAATAAGTAGTAGAAAGCAACATGTAGCTATTATCAAACAGTGATCATGCAGAGAGGTCAGGTAGAGTTACAGCAAATAAGCCGGTAAAATGGTGTAGTGTCCACACAAGCCATGATCCTGACTTCCCTTAAGTACATTGGCTACAGAGCTTAGCCAATCAGGATACAGGATGATGCAATACAGTCTTAAAGGAATATAATACCTTTCTGACTGCAAACATACATTGTTGGCTTATATATTGCCTGACCAACTACTTAGACAAATAATCATTTCCTAACAGAGCATCTGGGGTTGGGGGTAGACCGAGGCCTGTTCCTCTCCGTCTCCCTTCCGCCCCGGACTTTCTCTTCCCCTCCCAGACAATCACCTCCTGCCTCTCTTGGTTTCTCGCAGGCATTTTCGCCATGCCCCATCACGCCAAAATGACCTACCCCGAAATCCCGCAGGAACACACCCTGCCCCTCACCCTCATCTGCGACAACATTCGGGACCCTGGAAATCTGGGCACCATCCTGAGATCGGCGGCAGGAGCCGGCTGCTGCAGTGTGTTGCTTGTCAAAGGTGAGGAGGGGGCCACTGGGCATTGGGGGGGGAAGAAGTGGGCTGGAGTCGATCTCGGGCCTTCCTCCACGGGATGGGAAGGGAGAAATTGGCAGAATTGGTAGTGGTGTTGGGGGTGTTGGATCACTTCTGGCAAAAGTCAGGACCCTGCTTGGTAATTTTAGGGGGAGGGGGCTCCAGCTGTTTCCCCTGCAAAGGAGAGGAAGGTTTCATGAGACGAACCCGAGCGCGTAATCCTGGGTTGTAAGGTTTTCCTATCGTCTCAGTTTGAGAAGGGTCGAAAGAAAGTTTTCCTTCTGTGCAGCTTCTTTCACTGTCAAGAACTGTCTTTGCCTGCATTCAGAGGGGTGGACTTCCACTCCCAGAATCCCCCAGCCAGCATGCTTTAAGATGGGTGGACTTCAACTCCCAGAATTCCCCAGCCAGCATGCTTTAAGATGGGTGGACTTCAACTCCCAGAATTCCCCAGCCAGCATCCTTTTAGAGGGGTAGACTCCAACTCCCAGAATCCCCCAGCCAGCATGCTTTTAAAGGGGTGTACCCTGTAACTGGCCTTGGAATTCTGGGAGTTGAAGTCCCCCCGTCTTACCATTGCCCAGATGGAGTAGCATTGCTACCAGCCCAGCCTTCCTCTCCTCCTTCCAGTGGTGGGTTTCAAATTTTTTTTACTACCGCTTCTGTGGGCGTGGCTTGGTGGGTGTAGCATGGCTTGGTGGGCGTGGCAGGGGAAGGATACTGTAAAATCTCCATTCCCTCCCCAAATTCAGAGGAAGGATACTGCAAAATCCCCATTTCCTCCCGATCAGCTGGGACTCGGGAGGCAGAGAAGAGATGAGGGTGGGGCCAGTCAGAATTTTTACTACCGGTTCTCCGCATTACTCAAAATTTCCGCTATCGGTTCGCCAGAACTGGTCAGAACCTGCTGAAACCCACACCTCTGCCTCCTTCCCGCAGGCTGCATTGACGCCTGGGAGCCCAAAGTCCTCCGGGCAGGGATGGGAGCCCATTTCCGGATCCCCATCGTTTCCAACCTGGAGTGGGACCTCGTGCCCAATTACCTGCCCACCGAAAGCTGCATCCACGTGGCCGAGAGCTGCCGCGAGAGACCCCCAGAAGAGGCCGAACGGGCTTCGCCAGCCCAGGCTGGTTGCCGGACCCCCAAATCCTCGAACCGGACGTCCCAGCTGGCCCCATCAAAGGGGAGCCAGGAGGAGGAGGAGGAGGAGGAAGAACCAAACTGGCTGGAAGTCCAGCCTTACTACAATCCGTGGATGGATGCCTCCGTCGCCGTCGTGGTCGGCGGGGAGACCCACGGGGTGAGCCCCGAAGCCAAGCAGCTGGCGCAGAGGAGCGGTGGGAAGCAGCTGGCCATCCCCGTGGTCCCCGGCGTGGAGAGTTTGAATTCTGCCATGGCTGCCAGCGTCCTCCTTTTCGAGGCCAAGAGACAGCTGCTGGTCAAGGAAGGCGGCGCTTCCAGGTTCCAGTTAAAACAATGAGGACTAGAATCCCGAAACTTGACTTTTGTTTCGAGGGTCTCCGAGTGGTCTCCATTTCAGCCTCTGCAGCTTTCGGGGTCAGAGAGGAGGCAAAGAAAATCAAGATGGCCACTGCAATTATGGTCATGAAAACTCCGCCCCCTCCTTTATGCGTGCGAGGGTTTGATCACGCAAAGCTGGGGATGGCCCATTTGACTTTTTGAGACATGCACATACACACACAAAATCACACACGCAGGTACAGATCTCTCACACACACAAATCACACACAGTTACAGATCTGTCACACACAGAGATCACACATACATGCACGTACAGATCTCTCACACACCCACAATCACACACAGATGTACAGATCTCACACACACAATCCCACACACATGTACAGATCTCTCTCACACACACACACACAATCACATAGTTACAGATCTCTGTCGCACAGAGAGATCACACACACGTGTACAGATCTCACACACACAATCACACACACATGTACAGATCTCACACACACAATCACACACATGTACAGATCTCTCTCACACACACACATGTACAGATCTCTCTCTCACACACACACACAATCACACAGTTACAGATCTCTGTCGCACAGAGATCACACACACATGTACAGATCTCTCTCTCACACACAATCACACTCATGTACAGATCACACACATGCAATCACACATACATGTACAGATCTCCCATACAATCACACACATGTACAGATCTCACACACAATCACACACACATGTACAGATCTCACACACACAATCACACACAGTTACAGATCTCTATCACAGAGATCACACACACCCATGTACAGATCTCTCTCACACACACACAATCACACACAGTTACAGATCTCTGTCACACAGATCACACACACACGTACAGATCTCACACACACACAATCACACACGTACAGATCTCACACACACACAATCACACACGTACAGATCTTTCACACACACACTCACACACACACGTACAGATCTCACCACACACAATCACACACACACACGTACAGATCTCACCACACACAATCACACACACACACGTACAGATCTCTCTCTCTCCCTCTCTCTCTCTCTCTCACACACACACACACACACACGTACAGATCTCACCACACAATCACACACACACACGTACAGATCTCTCTCTCTCCCTCTCTCTCTCTCTCTCACACACACACACACACACACACACGTACAGATCTCACCACACACAATCACACACACACACGTACAGATCTCTCTCTCTCCCTCTCTCTCTCTCTCTCACACACACACACACACACACGTACAGATCTCACCACACAATCACACACACACACGTACAGATCTCTCTCTCTCCCTCTCTCTCTCTCTCTCACACACACACACACACACGTACAGATCTCTCCCTCTCTCTCTGACACACACACACACACAGACACACATACACACAAGTCTCCTTCCCCTCTGACTAAACGGGACAGGGTTGGCAGCCCAGCGAAGGGAGAGTTGTTGGTGGAGGATGTTTGCAAAAGGGACTGCGCTGTTGTGGGTCAGGATTGGCACACTTCCTTGCCAAATTCAAGAAGAGATCGGATGAGGTTTCCTCATGCAGCTAGCCCTCAATGACCGTCGTTGGGTCGCCATTTTGGTTCTAAGTCCCCCCTGGGCGTTGTGCATCCATTGAGCTGACGGAAGCTTTTGAGTTTTCAATCAAACGTTTTGAGTCGGATTCTTCCTATTTTTGGGGGGGGGGCATCGACCAACACCGCTGGCCTCCGACGATGTAATAAAACACTCGTGGCCACCTGCCATCTGGATTGATTTCTTTCGGTGGTTAAAAGGCGCGCCGAAATTCAGCAGGTTGCGGGAAATACGAATCTCCTCGCGGAGTTAACGGTACTCATTTCAGAATAACCGAGTTAGAAGGAACCTTGGAGGTCTTCTAGTCCAACCCCCTGCTCAGGGAGGAGACCCTATCCCCGTGATGGCGAAACGATGGCACGTGTGCCCGAAGTGACACACGGAGCCATGTTCCCGGGCACGCCAGCCGTCGCCCTATCCCAGCTCTACCGCGCATATGTGAGCACCTCCCGCCAGCCAGCTGGTCTTCAGGTCTGCCACGTGGGGGGGGGAAGCATGCGCGGGGGCGCTTGCATTGCATTTGAGGGTTTATGCATGCATGCCTCCCCACATACACCCTGTTTGCGCCTGGAAGGCCTGCACCAATCTGGAAGCCAAAACGGCGCGGAGGGGCCGGAATGCATGCATAGGAGACACACACAAATGCACAGGGGATGCATGCAAATCACAGGAGTGGGGTGCATGCACAGAGGGGTGCTTGCATTGCATTTTGGGGGTCCGGGCACACGCGTGCCCAAGCTTTTGACACTCGGCACCGAAAAGGTTAACCATCGCTGCCCTATCCCATTTCAGACAAATGGTGGTCCAATCTCTTCTCAAAAACCTCCAGGGCACCCACGACTTCCGGGGTTCAACCCGTTCCCCTGGTTACAGGTAGTCCTCGACCTACGACCACAATCGAGCCCAACGTTTCCGTTGCTAAGTGAGACATGAAGTGAATTTTGCCCCGTTTTACGCCCTCCCTGGCCACAATTCTTAAGTGAATCGCTGCAGTTAAGTTATTAACCCGGTTGGCTAAGTGAATCTGTCTTTTCCCCCATTAGCTTTGCTTTGTGACAAGGTCGCAAAAGGGGGATCAGGTGACTCCGGGACACTGCAACCGTCATAAACATGAATCGGTTGCCAAGTGTCCTGAATTTTGATCACGTGACCGTAGGATGCTGCAGTGGTTGTAAGTGTGAAAAACGATCATAAGTCACTTTTTTCGGTGTCGTCGTAACTTTGGAATGGCCACTGAACAAACTGTTGTAAGTCTCTAGGACTACCGTATTTTTCGGAGTATAAGACACACCTTTTTCCCCCCCCAAAAAAAGAGGGTGAAAATCTGGGTGCGTCTTATACTCCGAATGTAGCCTCACCCAGCTTCTCAAAGGGAGGTTTCAGAGGCTGAAAAAAGCATCAGAAACGAAGCTTCAGAAAAGAAGCCCCCAAACAGAGTTTCAGAGGCTATTTTTCTAAAGCTGTTTCGGAGGCTTTCAGAGGCAGGAAAAAAAAAGCAAGGCACAGAGCTCACAACCAAGGAACCTGTTGCTAAAATTCACCCCTGGGAACAGCTGATTGGGGGTATTCCGGGAGGCCGATCCACCCGCCCATCAGCTTTTTTCTTATTTTCCTCCCCAAAAACTAAGGTGCGTCTTATATTCCGGTGTGATTTATACTTTGAAAAATACGGTAATATGGCAAGCAACAAAAGAAGAACCAGTAAAAGTTCTAACCAAACTAGGCTAACAAATCTGGAGAATGACACAATAACTAAAAACATTCTAAATGTTTTTAGAATGGTTTTTTCAAAAATATATTGTGAGCCGTCCCGAGTCTCCAGAGAGGGGCGGCATATAAATTTAATAAATAATAATAATAATAATAAAATAATAACCAACAGATCGGAAGAGGTTAATCTACATACCAATACCAAAGAAAGGAGATTGAACAGAGTACAGATAGTCCTTCAGAATAAAAGCCTCTGAAAAAAGCTTCAGAATAAAAGCCTCTGAAAGAAGCTTCAGAAAAAAAGCCTCCAAACAGAGCTTCAGAAAAAAAAAGCCTTTTTTTCTGAAGCTCTATTTCGGAGGCTTTCAGAGGCAGAAAAAAAAGCCAAAAAAAAGCAATGCACAGACCTCACAACCAAGGAACCTGTTGCTAAAATTCACCCCTGGGAACAGCTGATTGGGGGTATTCCGGGAGGCCCATCCACCTGCCAATCAGCTTTTTTCTTATTTTCCTCCCAAAAAACTAAGGTGCGTCTTATACTCCGGTGCGATTTATACTTTGAAAAATACGGTAATATGGCAAGCAACAAAAGAAGAATCAGTAAAAGTTCTAACCAAACTAGGCTAACAAATCTGGAGAAAGACACAATAACTAAAAACATTCTAAATGTTTTTAGAATGGTTTTTTTAAAAAATACATTGTGAGCCCCCTGAGTCTCCAGAGAGGGGTGGCATATAAATTTTAATAATAATAATAATAATAATAATAATAATAATAATAATAATAATAATAATAATAATAATAATAATAACCAATAGATCAGAAGAGGTTAATCTACATACCAATACCAAAGAAAGGAGATTGAACAGAGTACAGATAGTCCTTCAGAAAAAAAGCCTCCAAACAGAGCTTCAGAAAAAAAAGCCTTTTTTTCTGAAGCTCTATTTCGGAGGCTTTCAGAGGCAGAAAAAAAAGCCAAAAAAAGCAATGCACAGAGCTCACAACCAAGGAACCTGTTGCTAAAATTCACCTCTGGGAACAGCTGATTGGGGATATTCCGGGAGGCGGATCCACCTACCAATCAGCTTTTTTCTTATTTTCCTCCCCAAAAGCTAAGGTGCATCTTATACTCTGAAAAATACGGTATGTGTAATTGTTCTCACTGTCAGGAAATTGCTACTTAGTTCTAGGTTGCTTCTCTCCTTGATTAGTTTCCACCCGTTGCTTCTTGTCCTGTTTCCGGTGCTTTGGAGAATAGCTTGACTTCTGTTGTGGCTCCGTTGCCTGAGCCTGTGTCATCGGCAGGAGAGGACTCCGAGAGTGAAGGAGAGGAGTTGGCAAGGCCTCCCTCTCCAGGACCCTCCTCTCTGGCAATGCCTTCGGTGTCCGCCGAAGGGCAAGAGATAGGGCCGGGGCCAAGCACGTCCACGCAGCCACAGATGGACAGTGATGAGGGTAATGAGTCTTGGCTGGATCCACGCCAGCGTCGCAGAGATAAGCGCGTGCAACAGAAGAAAAGGCGTGCCCGAGATTAGGCTGAGTCACTGGACCACACCCCACAGGGTATAAAAGGGAGCGTGGTGGCCAGTCAAACCTTGTGATGAACAAAGCTGAAAGCTTCCACGCCATTCTGCATTGCCGGACTTTTGCTATAGACTTTGCTGGATTATCTCTGGACTTGATTAATTCCGTAATTATTGAGCTGTTTCTTTTGATGTACCAGAAGTGGGGAGAAGTTATCTCTCCTCTTCGTAAAGAATAAACTCTTGGCAGGCAGCCACTAGGTTGTTGCCAAGTTCCGTTATCATAAGGAAAAGGATTTTGCCGGCTGGTTTGGTCTTTAACTCTTGAACGTCTGTTGGGGTGTGCGCGTGTGGGACGGGGACAGAACAACTCCCTCTTCTTTGGGGCAGCCCCTGAGATATTGGAAGACTGCTATCATGTCACCCCAAGTCCTTCTTTTTCATTAAACTAGACATACACAATTCCTGCAACCGTTCTTCATATATTTTTAGTCTCCGGTCCCCTAATCATCTTTGTTGCTCTTCTCTGCACTCTTTCTAGAATCTCCACATCTTTTTTTAACAGAATGAGCTGGAAGGGACTTTGGAGGTCAACTAGTCCAACCCCCTGCTCAAGCCAGAGACCCTATACTATTTCAGACAAATGGTTGTCCAATCTCTTGTTAAAAACTTCCAGTATTGGAGCACCCACAACTTCTGGTGGCCAGCTGTTCCACTGGTTAATTGTCCTCCTCACTGTTAGGAAATTTCTCCTTAATTCCAGGTTGCTTCTCTCCTTGATGAGTTTCCATCCGTTGCTTCTCGTCTTGCCTTCAAAGTGCTTTGGAGAATAATTTGTCCCCCCTCTTCTTTGGGGCAGATCCTCAGATATTGGAAGACTGCTATCGTGTCACTCCTTAGTCCTTTTCATTAAACTAAATTTCAGAAGTTGGCAGCCGAGGAATGTTTTTTTTTTTTTTTTCTCACCGGTTCGCATTTTTCACAGATTTCTATTTTTTTTTTCTTTTTCCATTTTCATCCCTTGCTTTTATTTGGAAAAAGAACGAAAGTCGGTTCAGACGGCCGAGCTGGCGAAAACAAACTTTTGCCAACGTGCACAAAAGAATTCAGATCCTTCTCTCTCTCTTTTTTTTTTTCCTGGCTGAAAAAGTTTATACATTGTGCTGCAATAAAATCCACTGGCCCTGTCAAAAACCCACAGAGTGACATCACTTCTTCCCTTTGATCCTTGGCCAAAAAGCCGGACAGGCTCGCTTACGCCCAAATTTGGCTGTGTCTGTTCAGGAGGGGCTTGGCTCCTTTTGGATTTTTTTTCTAAAAATATATTTTTTCCCCTTGTATCGAACTGCCCTTCCTTTGCAGGGCTCCTGAGATCTTAATCTGTCGTACGTTTTGGAAAGAAAACTGTTTGTTCCAACTCAAACTTAATTTCTTTTTGTCCTGAACGTGTGATTCCCCGTGCATTAAGAGTTTAACGGATTAACAGAGTTGGAAGGGACCTTGGAGGTCATCTAGTCCAACCCCCCGCCCAAGCAGGAGACCCTACAATATTTCTGACAGATGGCAGTCCAGTCTCTTCTTGTAAGCCTCCAGGGATGAAGCTCCCACAACTTCTGAAGGCAACTTCTGTTCCATGGGTTGATTGTTCTCACCGTCAGGAAATTTCTCCTTATTTCCAGGTTGAATCTCTCCTTGGTCAGTTTCCATCCATTATTCCTTGTCTGGCCTTTGGGTGCTTTGGAGAATAGCCTGACCCCCTTCCTCCTCTCTGGGGCAGCCCCTCAAATATTGGAAGATGCTCTCCTGTCTCCCCTGGTCCTTCTCTTCACTAGACTAGCCAGGCCCAGTTCCTGCAACCGTTCATCGCATGTTTTAGCCTCCAGTCCCCTCATCATCCTGGTTGCTCTTCTCTGCACTCTTTCTAGAGCATTGATG